TCTAAAATCTCTGTCCACAGTGAACCCAGAGTTTCACTGTATGTGCAGAAGCCCTTAACAGAAACCCTGTCAGCCGGGTGTTGCTGGCGCACGCCTTTAATCCCAGCACTCGGGAGGCAGAGGCAAGTGGATCTGTGTGAGTTCAAGGCCAGCCTGATCTACAGAGTGAGTTCCAGGACAACCAGAGCTACACAGAGAATCCCTATCTTGGGGGTGGGGGAAAGGATTGCTGTCATGTCCCAATGTCCCCTCCATTTTCTTTATTGACTTTTGTGGTGGTTCTTTTGTTGGATGGGGGGAGGGTCTCAGGTAGCCAAGGCTGGCCTTGAACTCACTGTGTAGTCAAGGATAACCTTGCATTCCTGATCCTCTTGCCTCTGCCTCCTGAGTACTAGGGTGGAGACACACACATCCATGCCTGCCCTAGGATCTTCCTGTGTGACCTGGTCTTGCCAGTCTCTCCTTGGCTGCCTCAAGGTCACACTGTCTCCCTGTGGCCACAGAGCAACACATCCTTTGTTTGTTTATTTTTGAGACAGGGTTTCTCTGTGTAGCCCTGTCTGTCCTGGAACTCACTCTGTAGACCAGGCTGGCCTCACTCACAGAGATCCACCTGCTGAGGAGTGCTGAGATTAATGGTGTGTGCCACAGCCACCCAGGACTTATTCACTTATCTATGGATTTTAAGACAGGGGCTCACCGTGTAGTATGGCTGTCCTAGAATTTACTGTGTAGATAAGGCTCTGCCTCTCTCCTCTTGAGACTGCAGGTGTGTGCCTCTCTGTCCCCGCCTTATTCCTCTAACCTGTGGTTTTCCCTGTCGTGTCGGGGCCAGGCTGAGGGACTTGCTCTCCCCCTCTGCCTCCCATGGCCACGTGATTCTCTGAGGCTGAGAATGTTGCACCCATCTTGACCAACTGTCCTTTAGGATCTCAGCTGAACAGGAGACCAGGTGGGGTTGGATGGGTTGCGTGATGCCAGGGCCACAGATCCGTCAAGGGAGTCTGAGCACACCTGGCCAAAGTCCCTGCCCCAGACCTTAGGAGAGGCTCCCAGGGGACCCAGCTTCTGGAACTTCTTCTCTCCCTCCCCACTCAGCATGTTGGGTTCCAGGTGTTGTTCTTTTGCTTAAATTAGATGGAATACGCTCGATGGAACACGAACTAGGAGATACATTAACCATAGAGTTTATTACAGGGGGGGGGGGGAAGAGTGAGAAGACAGAAGCAAAGAGGAAGAGGCGAACACATGGAGGTGCTCACTTAAAGGGGAGACTTGCACATGCACACTGAGTCCTTACGCAGCCCTGTAACGAGTGATGTAGCCATGACATGACCACGCAACACAGGGCCCTTTGAGCTGCCTAAGTATGTGCCTGAATGCATGTGTGCATGTCCCACCCATCGTCAGGGGCCGGGGTCAGCATGATACCAGGTTCCAACACCAGGTGCCTCAGTAGGGCCGGTGATCAGGGATTCAGGGTCTCTTAGAGTCCATGGAACCACAAAAGGAGTGACATGGCCCCACGGGCCCCAAAAAACACCAGAGACATGTGTGGCTGTCATAGCGGGTGCTCCAGGCATGGAGGGGGTGGAGGCCAGGCACCATGTACAGCACCCAGTACTCCCCACGGTGACCCAGCACCCAGGAGATTTCCTTTGCACCCGTGTCATTCATCCTTTTCAGTTCTGTGTTTCTGCGAGCCTGTCTCCACCAAGCACAGTTGCCACTTCACACCCCCCCCCCTTCCAGCACACCTAAGGCGTAATTATAGCTCTCCCCATGAGGAGAGCTAAAACCCAGCCCTGGCTTCTGGGCCTTTGACTGCAGCTCCAGCAGCAAATCAGGGCTGCTCCAAGAGCAAGGGCTGTCCTGATAGGCCAATGTTCCAAGTCACCCCAAGTGATGCCCTGAGTTCTGAGCTACAGTCATCTGTGCTGCAGTCACCACCAGGAGCTCCGCAGGCCCCTTTCCACCCACAGATCTATCACCCAGGGCTGCCACGTGCCCAGCCTTGTGGCCAGCTGTCTGTGCAGATTGAGCCCCGCTGACTCAGAGGTGTTTGGCTGTTATTGACTTACTACTTGGTGTGGGGGGTGGGCATGGTTGGTCCATGAGTCAGGGACTGGCTGGTGACACATACCTCTGCCTGAACAACAGGGGACAGCCTGCAGAGGTGCATCAAGGGCCTGATTCGAACCTCATAGTGAAGCTGACCCGTGGAAAAAGGCAGCTGTGTACGAGAAGCATGGAAGACAAAAACATGTCCAGACCTGTTTGTGGGCAAACACATCCATGTACATACTGAGATATGCAGAGGCATGCACGTGTGTGTGTGTGTGTGTGTGTGCGCGCGCGCGCGCGCGCGCGCGCGCGTACACATGAGCAGTGCCATCCTAGAACCCCCAGTGAGGGGCTGGGGGCATGGTCATGGTGGAGCCTTGTAGTGGCTTGTTTTTTAGTCTTTTGGTTTTGTCAGGGGCCCACCACCCAGCTCCCAAATAAATCACACCAGAGTCTTATCATTACTTATGAATGCCTGGCCTTAGCTTGGCATGTTTCTAGCCAGCTTTTCTTAAATTATCCCATCTACCTTTTTCCTCTGGGCTTTTGTCTTTCTCTTACATCTGTCTTCTTACTCTTACTCCATTGATTGCTGTGTGGCTGGGTAACTGGGTGACTGGATGACTGGGTGGCTGGGTGGCTGGGTGGCTGGGTGGCTGGGTGGCTGGGCTGGCTGGGTGGCTAGGTGACTGGCCCCTGGAGTTTTCTCTTCCTTGTTTCTTCTCTTACTTTCTGCTCTCTGCCTGCCAGCCCCAACTATCCTTGCTCCTGCCTTGCTATTGGGCATTCAGCTCTTTATTAGGACAGCCAGGTGTTTTAGACAGGCAATGTAACACAGGTTCACAGAGTTAAATGCAGCATAAACAAAGTCACACACCTTAAAATAATATTCGTGTCAGGGCCAGGCTGAGGGGCTTGTTCTCCCCCTCTGCCTCCCATGGCCACGTGATTCTCTGAGGCTGAGAATGCTGCACCCATCTTGACAACTGTCCTTTAGGATCTCAGCTGAACAGGAGACCAGGTGGGGTTGGATGGGTTGCGTGATGCCTGCACCTGCCTAAAATCCCCCAGTGAGGGGCTGGGGCCGGGGCTTCTGAGCCAAGCAATGGCTTAGCATGTACACAGCTTATGCCATGTGCCTATCTGCAGAGATCCCCATGCACACACACAGACAGTGACCTGCTCCCACTTGCATCTGGGCCCCCATCTGGGCTCCTATCTCCACACACACCCTTTCTCAGACACATCCTTACATGGATGTGCACTCACATGTGCTGAGCTGGACTGTCCCCACCCTCCACTCCCCATCTTCCCAGGAAAACACTGCCAAGGCCTGGCTGGTTCTCTGTATCTAACTATATTTAGCTCAAGAGAAATCTCTGGCTGGAGTCGAAGTGGTTTCCATGTCCTGCCTAGAAGCCCTGATGAGCAAGTTCTCTGCAGCCACATGCTGAAGCTCCCAATTCTCTGCCCCCAGGAGAGGTGCTAGTTGTGTGCACACACCCCAAGGAGCTAGATAGAGCCAAAGATTTATTATCATTATTAATTGAAACCTGATTAAGAACATTGTTAAACTGGATATGGTGCCTGTCAGCCCACACCTTAAGAAATTGAAGCAGGGGTCGGGCATTGGTGGTGCACACCCTTAATCCCAGCACTCGGGAGGCAGAGGCAGGCGGATCTCTGTGAGTTCGAGGCCAGCCTGGTCTATAGAGAGAGTTCTAGGACAGCCAAGGCTACACAGAGGAACCCTATCTTGGGGGAAAAAAAGAAAAGAAAAGAAAAAAAAATGAAGCAGAATGGCCAGGAGTTCCAGGCCAGCTACCCATGGCGACTCTGTCTCAAAAGAAAACAAACAAAAATTGCTGTTTGTTCATATCTAGCTGCAGCAAAGAAATATAAAGTGATGCTATTGAGCATTTCCTAAGTGACATTTGATAAAACTGGGCAAGGGCTGACAAGAGGGCTCAGCTGGAAAAGATGATTTCAGCCAAGACTGACCGACGACCTGTGTTCAGTCACAGGGTCACACATGGAAGGAATAACAGATTCCCATAAGTTGTCCCCTGACCTCAGCATGGGTGCTGTAATGCATGCAAATGTACTCACGCACACTTTGGCTCATGTACCTTCACATGCAAAATGGCATGCATACACAGGTATTTTTAAGCAATAAAATATCTGAACCTCTGAGATGGCTCAGCTTATAAAGACACTTGCTGCCAAGCCTAAAGAACTCAGGTCAATCCCCAGAGACAAGTGAATCCTCCAGGTTGTCCTCTGACTACATTCAGGACACACAAAATATAAATAAGTATAGAGGAGGGGCCGGGGTGTGGCTCAGAACTCAGGAGGCCCTGGGGTCTGTCCCCAGTAGCCCTCCCCACTGCTGTCTGCAGAGTTCCTCTCTCGATGGCTTCCCCAGGAAGCCCATATCATGTAGGAAATGAAAGTGAAGCCTTCATGCTTGTCCCACCCACCTTGGGTCGCTGAGCCCATGCCCAGGTCACTGGCTCTACTGCCGTCCTGCTTGAATTCCTTAGCTCGGAACAGACAGACAGTCTTTGGCTGAATTATCATCAGCCCCAGCCTGGGCCATGCCAGTCACAAGTCTCTAGACCTAAGTGAATGAATGACTGTATGAATGGCTGAGGGAAGGGCCTGGGTAACCGCAGACCCTGGAACTATCCCCCATCATATCCATCTTCTCCAGGAGCCCTGTGTAGTGTGGGCCAGTGATTGCCGGCCACCACCACCCCACCCACAGGGACAGACAGTGGCAGGTGCTGGGTGTCCCCCCTTGCTCTGAGCAGCTAGGCACGGAGTCGATCTGGCTCGTCCTCTGAGGGGTTGGCGGGGTCAGGGGTTGGCTTGGTCAGTGGGTTGGCGGGGTCAGGGGTCTGAGCAGCAGGTTCATGTCCCTCTGTGCCCTACAGCTCTCTGGACTCTGGGGTCCACGCTGATGGCTGATGATGTCAGCGACTAACAATGTGGCCCAGGCTCGAAAGCTGGTGGAGCAGCTGCGCATTGAAGCTGGGATTGAACGCATGAAGGTGAGGGCCAGGGGAGAGGAGGCCAGAGAGCCCTGCTCGCAGCTTAGATTTCGGCGGTGTGACCTTGGGACACGCACTCAGGCTCTCTGAGCTTCTCAGCAGAAAGAGACAGCTGTTGTGTGTGGCTGAGAAACATAAAGTGTTCTGGGGCCAGAGACTGGGTTGATCATGATGAGTCTGCCTCTGGCTGGCGGCACTTTTTCTCACCTGTCGCCCTCTTAGAAGCAGTGCTCTGTCTGTCTTTTTGGTTACCACAGATGAGAACAGGAGTCATAGACAGAGGAATGGAGCAGATGAGGGTCTAGCTGCTTCCAGTTTGGTGTGGTTCTCTTTTCTTTCTTTCTTTTTTCTTTTTTTTGTTCTTAAAATCCCAGCACTCGGGAGGCAGAGGCAGGTGGATCTCTGTGAGTTCGAGGTCAGCCTGGTCTACGGAGCGAGTGCCAGGACAGCCTCCAAAGCTACACAGAGAAACCCTGTCTCGAGAAAAAAAAAAAAAAAAGACTGTTGGATTTGAGGATGGAGCCCCGCTTAGAATCTCCCAGTGAGGGGCTGGGGTGTGGTCAGGGACAGAACACACCAAAAGGTTCCATGTCCAGCACCACCAAACATTGTTTAGCTGATAACATGGCCCCAGCACACACCCATTCAGTCCTTCATTCACCCCTTCACCAGGAAGGGGCGCTGGGCCCCAGGCACTTTTTTGTGGGGATCATTAGAATCCTTTCCGGAGGGCCTGGTGCTATGTGGTCACAAATGGGCTTGATCCCAGGTGACCCCAGCCCTTGTGGCCAGGCCAGGCAGAGGACACCTCACAGGAGGCCTGTGGGCCCCAGCTGCAGGTTTCTTCCCACAGGCCTGCACACTCAAGCATTCCTTGTGGCAGAGGTCCCTGTTGAAGTGGTTTTTTTGTCTGAGCTGGTGCCAATCCCCGGCCTGAGGGGGAGGGCGCTCTGTGATTCATCCCACCCTCTTTGAAGTCAGGAGGAGTCCCCACCTCAGCTAGTCCAGTCTGCGGGTGGCATGGGCTGTTATTAGCCTGGTCACCCTGGCAGGCACTCTGGACTTCTGCACCGCCTCTTTAGTCACAATTATAGAGGCCAGGGAGCACTCTGTGGAAGGGGACCTAAGGGTCCTGTGCCTACATTAGCTATTCTGAGGCCTTACAAGCTATTCTTGGGGTCACAGAGGGCGATTTTCCAAGCAGAAGTCTACATCTGAGTGTACAAATCGAGCAGCCAACAGGCTCTGAGTGACAATTTTCCCTGTGTGGGTGGAATTGTCCCCAGGACTGGGCAGCTTGGCCAATCCGGATTCCCAGTGTCCCCAACATCTCAAGACAACTGGGGGTTTCAAATAAGTGCCATGGAAGGTAGATGTGTTGGTGAGTACTTGTCATGCCCCTACTGCCACTTGGGACACAGATGAGTATCCTTTCTGGCCAATTTAACAACAGAGTGAGACCTCATCTCCAAAACAGAAGACAGTGCATTGCTCAGTGGGTACAGTGCTTAGTTGATAGAGTGTTTATGAACAAGGCCCCAGGTCCTCTCCAGCATGTGGTGCTGGCCATCACCATCAGCTACATGAGACCCCATTTCAGAAAAACAAAACAACACCAAATAGTGGCCAAGCACAGCCAGCAACCCTAATGGACTGGACACCCAGCAGTGCAGGGGTAACAGGCTCCAGCTTCCTGAGTGAGCTGATGCTGCAGCTGCAGCTGGGGGATCAGTGAGACTCCAGAGAGTTGTGACAGAAAGATGCTTTGCAGCAGAGTTCAGGTCATCTTCATGGGGACCCCAGGGGCCAGCTGGGGTATGACACCTCCCACTGACCAGGTCTGATGACAGGCGGGGCTTTTCCTGGGGCCTCCTATCTGGGGTGGGGTGGGAATGAATCTAATTGGGAAGGAATCCAACCACTGCTTGCTTAAATGCTAGCAACTTAAGGTGAAGAACTCTGCAAGACCGCCTTTCATCTTTGTGTTTCCTTTGTATGTTGGGGATGGAGCCCAGAGGTTCACAGGAACACCGAGCTTTAGACCTCTAAGTCAGGACCCCAGACCCTCTCACTGGGGGATTCCAGGCTAGAGGCACCAACTCTGACCATGCCCTCAGCGCCTCATTGGGCGATTCTAGGTGAAAGTTCCACCCCTGACCACGCTCCCAGCCCCTGCATGGTGGTGTTTTTGTTTTGTTTTGTTTTGTTTTTTTAAATAAAGACTTTATTTATTATGTCTTCTGCCTGCATGCAAGCAGAGGGCACCAGATCTCATTCAAGGTGGTTGTGAGCCACCATGTGGTTGCTGGGACTTGAACTCAGGACCTCTGGAAGAACAGTCAGTGCTCTTAACCGCTGAGCCATCTCTCCAGCCCGTGGTGGTGTTTTGTAAAAGTTAAAAATATAAACGTGCAAGAGATGTGAGAACGAGAGATGCATTAATCATAGAGTTTATTACAGGGTGGGAAAGGGAGAGAGGAGAGAGGAAGAGAAAGAGAGTGTAAGAGTAGGAGAAAGGGGAGAGAACAAAGAGCAAGAGATGAGAGACAATGATAGGAGAGAGTTTAATGGGAGGAAGTCTGTCTTTTAAAGGGTCTTTTACTCCTGCGTGCAGACTTAGTTCCCATGGAACCCTGGGCTGACCAGGTACAGCCTGAGTGCATTGTGCCAGGTGACAGGGGCAGGCCAGCATAATGCCTGAACCTTTCACTGTGAGTGCTATTTTGTGTGCACAGTGCTTTTATACATCCCAACTGTCTGCTTTCAGGATCATAAGCCCAGTCAAAGCCTGTTTGAGGAGCCATCCACCTTACCCCAATCTCCATCCCCTAGCAACAATGGGTCCACTTCCTGTCTCTGAATTCACTTGTTCTAGAAATATCTTAACCTGGAGTCCCCACTGCGGGGTCTTTTGTGTTTGATTCTCTCACTGAGCACAATGTCCTCAAAATCCCTCCATGTTGTAGCCTGAGTGAAAACCTCATTCCTTTTTGTGGCTGTGTGATATTCCACAGCACGAGTTACAGAATGTGTGTGGCCACCATCATCTGGGGTCTCTCTGTCCTTGTGGCGGTTGTAGACACATCTGACCTTCCCTTTTCTTTGTGCCACACAGGTCTCCAAAGCCTCATCAGAACTGATGAGCTACTGTGAGCAGCATGCCAGGAGTGATCCCTTGCTGGTCGGTGTGCCAGCCTCTGAGAATCCATTCAAAGACAAAAAGCCTTGCATAATTCTCTAGCACTCTCTCTCTCTCTCTCTCTCTCTCTCTCTCTTCTCTCTCTCTCTCTCTCTCTGATCCCCTACCCTTCCTCCTATTGTCCAATTTTTACTGTGAGAAAATACCTGATTTCCTTACACTTTGCATTCTAAAGGAACAGAAACCATTGTGAAAGCAGACCCTCTTGATGGGGGTGAAGTTTGTGACCCCACCTTGGGCCTCTGACTGCCCAGATATCAACCTCCCCCACTTCCTCCTGTCAAGCATTGCTGGAGACCTGAGTGATGTGATTTTTTTTAAAGCCCTCCTTATTTGGTCCTGGGGACATGGCTCAGCAGGTGATGTGCATACTTTGCAAGCATGAGGACCTGAGTTCTGGTCCCACATAAAAAGCTCTGGTGCAATAGCACATGTCTGCACCCCAGTACTCGAGAGGCCCAAGGCAGGATCCCAAGGGCTTGAGGGACAGCCAGCCTAGCTGTCACTGAACTCCAGTGAGGATTCCTGCCTCAGAGCTAGAGGAAAAGAGCCAGCATAGACCTGTGGCTCCACCCCTGACACACACACACACACACACACACACACACACACACACACGCACCCTGTGCTGCCTGCCGGTGCCCCTCCCGAGTGTGGAATGTCATGTACACAGTGATGCCCTTTCTCCAGGACAGACATCCAGGTCTCGACACAGAGCGAGCAGTTACTGGTATGGCCGAAAGTGTAATTTTGTCTCCTAAGCCTGAGACCCATTGGGTCACTGGTGGCTCCCGTTTTCTCCCAGTTACCAAGGTTGTGTGACAGACAGAAGAAATGCAGACTTGATTATCTTGAAGTGATTGAGAAGGAGTCACAGAGATGGGATCCTGCATTTCCGCGTGATGATGGGACTGTGACTCCGGTTCCTCCAACCCCTCCCTGGATCAAATCACTTTCCAACTAGCTGGAACCAGAGACCCTCAGTGTGAGGACTGCAGACCAGTTCTACACTTCACCTGTACTGAAAGATTCGAGACACCTATACCACATATACCACACCCCATCCATTTACTGCGCGCGCGCGGGGGGGGGGGGGGTTTCTAGGGGGGGCTCCCCCCACACCGACCCCTCACTGGGGAATTCTGGGGGGAGGGTCTCCACCCTGACCACGCCCACAGCCCCTCACTTAGGAATTCTAGGCGGCAGGGCCTCCACTCTTTCTAGTTTGTGAGAAGAGTATGTTGTCCAGGCTGGCCCGGAACTGGAGATCTTCCTGCCTCTGCCTCTAGAGTACCTGCATGACAGGCCTCTGCTTCCTTACATGGTGTAGGCTGGGTTTGAAGACAATTCGGGCCGGGCGTTGGTGGCAACCGCCTTTAGTCCCAGCTCTTGGGAGGCAGAGGCAGGCGGATCTCTGTGAGTTCGAGACCAGCCTCGTCTGCAAGAGCTAGTTCCAGGACAGGCTCCAAAGCCACAGAGAAACCCTGTCTCCAAAAACCAAAAACAGAAGCAGCAGCAGCCAACCCTGCCAATAAGCACCACAGTGACACCGGCAGGTGGCAGCAGGAGGAGGTTGGGCTATGCCAGTGTGGACTACAGCCACACCTCACAGGCACCCTAAGCATCAGGATGATGATGAATTCAAGAGTGCCCCAGTGCCTCAAACAGCAGAAATGAAACCAGTCCAGTTATGTCCCAAGGCCCTGGTGGAGATGAGCTTCCAAGAGCCTGTGCCAGGCTGGTCCCTGGACAGTTGCCCAAGTTGCCCGTGGCAAATGTGAATGCGGCTCTCACACCCCACCTCACCTCCCTAGGTAGCAACGCCCCCAACTCACTCTGATTGGGCCAGGGAAAGACATCTACAGTGAGAATAAGGCGAGGTACTAGGGGTCCTAAGAGGGGCCCTCTGTTCCCCCTTTCCTGGGCTGGCTCCCAGAGAGCACAGACTGAAGGTCAGACTCCTCCCATGCATGAGCTCCCCATACTGGTCAAGGAGGGTCAGGGACTTTGGGGAGTCTGACTCCCCAAACCTGTGTTGAAATCAGAAAAGCCACTGTGTACCCCCAAAATTATAGACACCTTGCATTAGGGTGGGAACTGGAGCCCCAGGGTGAGTGTATGTACCCAGCCTGTCTGGCAAGGGCAGAGGATAGCGTATACTGGGGACTAGGGCAGCACTCAGTGTGTCAGACCCCCGGGCTTCCATCCCCAGCTCACAGAAGCCAGGCATGGGCACACTGGGGAGGTGGGAGTAGGAGGGTCAGGACTTCATGGTCACCCTCTGCTACACAATGGGTTCAAGGCTAGCCTGGGCTATATGAGACCATATCTCAAAAACAGAAAATGCAGTGCACTGGTCCATCCTCCCAACCTCTCCTGTCTCCCTCAGGTGAGGTTGCCAGCGGCAGATGCCATGGCTAGTTCACATCTAATCACAATGCCTTCTTGTTCCTCCACCCTGGGAAAACAGAAATCAGTATCTACCCCAAAAGACCCTCCAGCCACCCCTCCTCAGATGATACACAGGCCAAGACCAAAGTGACATCTTATTCCCCAGGGAAGGTGGGATGTGCTCAGCCAGTGTTTGCAGGATGGGCCTTGAGACCCAGAATAGTCCCTTGTCCCATCCCAACCACCATGGCCCTGCCTCAGCTTGGAGAAGCCAGGCCACAACAGAGCAATCAGGAGCAGGGCGGTGGTGACATACGCCTTTAATGCCAGCAGTTGGAAGGCAGAGGCAGGCAGATCTCTGTGAGTTCAAGGCCTGGTCTATATAGTAAATTCCAGGATATCCAATGCTATAGAGACATGGTCCAAAAGAAAAGAAAAGAAAAGAGTGAGATCTGCTCCAGCTTGATGACTTCCAACCCCAGGAGAAGCTGCTAAACTCTCCCTTGTCCTCAACAGAAACCATGTATGCTCTCTCTGAGTGTCTTGGACACAATGGCCAGACAACACAGGACGTCACACAACACTTTCAGTTTCCTGCACCCCACTTTGGGCTCTGGCTCCACCCCTTCCATCTGCATTGTGACATTGGTTGGTTTTTATTCCTGATTTAAAAAAAAAAAAAAAAGATTCTGTTATGCCACAGCCACTTGCTGACAGTGTTTGATACTTGTGTGGAGGAAGGCCATGATAGTGTGAGTCCTCCATAATAAAGGCTCAGTCTTCCTTTTACCTTGACTCTAAACTCTGTTTCTCTCCCTGGCCAGGACGGCTCAGGTGATGTGGAGGACAGTGGCCAGCCATCACACCCCCTTCCTTCACGTTCAGCCTCAGCAGATGACAGATCTGTACATGAAAGTGTTTCATTTTGAGACAAAGTTCTCATGTAGCTCAGGCTGGCCCCCAAACTCATTGTACACCAAGGGCTAACCTTGAATTCCTGACCCTAGATGACAGGTATGGCTGCCATGCCTGGTTCATGCAGTGCTAGGGATGGGAGCTAGGGCTCTTTTGTCCATCCTGGGCAAGTGCTCCACCCTACCCACTGAGCTCCACCCTAGCCTTTTGGTTTTATTCTGAGACAGGCACACTGTATACATGCCTAGAGTCATCCAATAAGGGACATTCCCTCCCAGCACTGTAAAAAATAAAATAAAGACCTCTTATTCCTAAACAGTTGTGGGGTCAGAGGTTTGGCACAGGCATCCCCGGGCTGCAGTCCAGGCCTGCAGTGCAGTTCCAGGGAATACCTCTCTGCACTCTATCCCATCACAGCATCTAAGAGGGCCTGCATCCCTTGGCTTGCAGCCCCATCCTCCTCCTTCAGAGCCAGCAGTGCAATGTCTCCCACCCAGTCCTTCACCCACTTTTCTCCTTCACCTGATGGATGACAGGGAGCCCTGGATGACCCAGGATGATCCCCCAGAAGAGGGTCCTCAGCTTAACCCATCTGCAAAGTTTTTCTGCTCTCAGAGAGGAGATGATGTGTGACATGTCACAGGCCTGGGCATACAAACGAGGTGGCCTTTGGGGCTGGTAGGCAGCAGCCTGCAGCCTGGCTTCAGTGGAAGCCTAGCATGAGACGCTTATCTGCTGTTCAGCCTTCTGACCCAAGGTCCAGGGGTGAACTCGGGACAGTGAGGTGTGTGGAGGGAGAGCAGGCAGGAAAAGTTTGTGTTGTTGACTCTACTTAATGTGGCCTGTGGTTGCCTCTGAGGGGCCATGGCCTTATACACTCACCTGGGCATCATTCTCAGGGTCCAGCCCAGGAGGATAGATGCCTTGGGTCCCACTCTGCTCTGTGTGACATCAGCCACAACCCCCACCCCCAGCCAGCCTTCTAGGGCCAGTGAAGTAGACTAGAATTGCAGGAAATTTTAAAAGGGAGGAGGAGTGGAAACTCATGCTAGGAAGGCTTAGGACAAAAGAGACCAGGTCACATTTCCAGAAGTGTCTGATGCTTATGAGACAAGGACAGCCACATCCCTGAGCCAAGCGAACTCGCTGGTGAGTCACAGGCCTCACACCCAGGTGCTCTACTCCACAACAGCTTCTCAGAGACAGTAGTATCCTAAAGGGCTTTGTTCAAGCTTTCCCATGACAGACGGGGATCACAGCCACATGAAAGAACAAAACACAGAGGCAGCACTTGGGAGGCTGAGGTAGGCAGATCTGGAGTTCAAGGTTAGCCTGGGCTATAGAATAGGATCCTGGTGGTGGAAAAATGGCTCAGGTTTAGAACATTGCCTGCTCTCGCAGACGACCCAGATTTGGTTCTTAGCACCACATGGCAGCAAACAACCATCCGAAACTGCAAGCCCAGGGAATATGATGCCGCCTTCTGGCCACTGTGGGCACTGCATGCACACACACACACACACACACACACACACACACACACACACACACATATATGAAACACCCATGCACGTGAAATGAATAAATAAAATTAAGTGGGGCAGTTAGTGGCACACGCCTTTAATCCCAGCACTTGAGAGGCAGAGGCAGGCGGATCTCTGTGAGTTCAAGACAGCCTGGTCTGCAGAGTAAATTCCAGGACAACTAGGACTACACAGAGAAACCCTGTCTTGTCTCGAAAAGCAATAAACAAACAAGTAAAATATAAAAAGAAATAATGGAACCCTGGCTAGATGGATGGGTAGATAAATAAGGAGATAGATAGATGTAGAATAGACCATAGGTAGGTATGTAGCACATGATGGATGGATAGACATAGATAATAGTTAGAAAATGGATTAATAGATGGTGGATGGATAGATAGTTAAAGCAATAAGGCAAAAATCTTACCCCACATTAGTCTGAATAAGTAACTTTAGATCTATAGAGTGGGAGATTAGGGTGTGCACAGGACATGGGTGGTGCTGTGATGCTGTAGCCCCCACCTCCAGAGAAAGTCCAGCATTCCTTTAACTCCCCAGGCTCTGCTCAACCAGGAGAAATAAAAACACACATGACAGAAACTCTTGGAAAAATAAAAAGACTTGGGAGGAAAGTCAGGCATTTCCCCGTGACATTGGAATTCAGGAATTAGGAGATGGTGACTTCCAGGCCAGCCTGGGCTCTGCAGTGAGATCCCCATGTCAAGAATAAACCAATCAACTGATGGTCAGGGCTGGGGAGAGACGGCTGAGATATTAAGATCACTTGATGCTCTTTCAGAAGGCCTGGGTTCAGTTCCCAGCATCCACATGCTGCTCAGGACTGCCTATGATGCCAGCTCCAGGGCACCAGATGCCCCCTTCTGGTCTCTGTGTGTACTGCACTCACATGTGCATACACACAGACACACATACTACACATAACTAAAAGCAAGGATAAATCTCTTTAAAAGTAAGGAAGGAATGTTGTGAGCAGCTCTGGTCCTAAGAGACACAACCTGGAAGCATCTCAGGCATTCAGCCATAGGTGAACAGAGAAAGAAAATAACATGCTCATACCATAGGATGCCACTCAGCCATGGGAAGGGACATGGTGATGATGGCACAGGGTGACTTGGGAACACTCTCTGCTGAGTGAAACAAACTTCACAGAGGAGAACAGCGGGAGTCTACAGACAACAGGTGATCATCAGGTGACGTCCCCAAAGATAACTACATCTTAATAGAAGAGCTGAAGCTTGGTGGCTTTGTG